TTGGGTCTGGGTCACCTCATTCAGGAAAATTTTCTTTTTCTAGCTCCATCCATTTACCAGTGAATTTCATGGTTTTTCTTTTTTTTTTTAATAGCTGAGTAATATTCTGTTGTGTAAATATACCACATTTTCCTGACCCAATTGTCTGTTGATGGACATCTAGGATATTTCCAATTTCTGACTGTGATTCATAGAGCAGCAATGAACATGGTTGAGAAGTGTGTCTCTTATAGGATGTAGTCTTTTGAGTATGTGCCCAAGAATGGTATATCTGAATTTTGGAGTAAATCTATTCCCAGATTGTCAAGGATCTGCCACATTGATCTCCCACTAACAACGGATGAGTGCTCACTTATGCCACATCCTCACCAGCATGAGCTGTTATTTCTTTTATGGATCTTGGCCATTCTGACTGTTGTAAAGTAATCTCAATGTAGTTTTCATTTGCATTACCCTGATAACTAAGGATATTGAATGTTCCTTTAAGTGTTTCTCAGCCATTTGTGTTCATCTTTTGAAACTCTCTGGTTAGATGTATACAACATTTTTAATTGGGTTATTTATTTGCTGTCCTGTTTTTCAAGTCCTATATATATATATATATATATATATATATATATATATATATATATATATATATATATATTAAATATTAGCAATGTGTGGATGGAGGTATTTTACTCTTTTGGAGGGCCTGCCACCCAGCTCCCAAAAAAATCATACATCGAGGCTTATTCTTAGTTATGAATGCCTGGCCTTAGCTTGGCTTAGTTTCTAGCCAGCTTTCCTTAAATTAACCCATCTATCTTTTGCCTCTGGGCTTTTCACATTCTCTAACTTCTGTATACCTTACTCTTACTCCGTGGCTTGCTGTGTAGTTGGGTGGCTGGCCACCAGAGTACTTCTCTGGCTCTTAGATCTCAGCTCTCTCCTCCCAGTTTTCTCCTTCCATATACACTCTCTGCCTGCCAGCCCCACCTATCATTTCTCCTGCCTCGCTATTGGTCATTCAGTTCTTTATTAGACCATCAAGTGTTTTAGAGAGGCACAGTAACACGTTTACAGAGTTAAACAAATGCAACATAAGTAAAAGTAACACACACTTAAAATAATATTCTACTACATTTTCTCTTTTGTCTAAATAAAAATAAAGGTTTTAATTTTCACATAGTATAACTACATACAATAAAAACAGTTACGAAGTAAGAATTAATTTACAATAGTCAGTCCATTTGTAGTTAGCATATTCAAAGAAAATAATGCATTATCTATCCTATTTTAGTTAATCCAAAGTTTTATATCTAACTTATTTTTTATCATAACTAAGAAAAATTGCAACTATAACTACCTAGTCTTCAATTACATCAAAGGCCCAGAAGGATATATTATCTAACAACAGAGACATTTGGCTGCCTGAACAGTCACCCAAAGTTCCTCTGCAATGTTGGGGCATCCATCTTGAGCCTACAGGCCTAGAGTATCCAGCAGACTTTTCTTTGAAGCAGGAATTTTGGACTGTCCTGCCTTATTTAGCAACGTTCATCAGACACTTTCCTCTGTGTCCTGCAGAATGTCTGGCAGACTCTTCTGTGAAGCAGGAATTTCCAAGGACTGTCCTCCTTGTTTTGGCAAAGTTCAACAGTCACTTTTCCTGTGTGTCCTGCATGTCCAGTCTGCACAGCACATTGATAGCAATCAATGGAAAGAACAGTTTCTTTGCCTAACTATTGTGGCTAACCTTACCACAATGAAAGCAAACTCCATAAGGAGTTTCTTCAATGCCCATCATCTCTGAAGTAAATTGGTACTACCACCAACAGATGTGTCTCATTGTCCTGAAAAACCCTAAGTTAACAAAACATTTTAAATGCCACACTCTGTAGGTCTTTGAAAGGTTTGAAGACCATCTATCTATCTAAAATATATCTCTATATGATCTGGAAAGCATACCTAACATATTTACAAATTTAATTGTTATAAATGACTAACCACTAACCTGTTTCCTGATTATCCTATATAGTTTATAATAACAGCTTTCAAAAATTAGAAATTCACCCTACATTTTTTAATAAACTGCATAGGTACAATACTTTAAAGAAAAATAGAAACATATATACAATATGATACAACAAAAATAACATTAAAATTTTATCAGTATACAAAAATTTTTTAAGCAAGAGTAGGAGCATATATACAGTGTAACAAAAATAACTTTAAATTTGAGTCAATATTCTATACTCACCTAAATGATAACAAACATCCATAACCCACCAAATAATCAAAGACCACCCACCCCATCTCTTAAGAATATGGGCATAGTATTCTCCATACTTCTTCATGCTGTCTGTGAAGTATCTTTAGAGTCCCAAAGAGAAAATTTGAGATAATGGCCAAGTACTGGGAAGACTAGCAGTAACCTTTGCTGATAGATGTCACCTGTCAAGTGTCAGGAGGTCTCCCCTGATCAAATCTGATCCATATTAACCCTGAAAAAATCCACAGTCTCTCATCTCATGTGGGAACAAAACTCCAAAGCATTTTTGATTTCCATTTGGCAAATATATTTTTTGAAGTTAATAACTTTTTTAAAGTTAAGACATTTCTAAAATATCTAGGTTGGTTCAGTTTAGCAGTCCAGTTCACAATCCCATAGCATGACTAGGACTGAAATGGCAGCTTTGGATGCTGGCTCCACCCACCTCAGCTTTCAAACATGGCGGAACTACATTTACCTCCAGCTCAAGGGGAACCATGCAGTGGATCTGTGCTTCCATCCAGCAGCATGTATCCCAAAAACCTTTTCTTTCTTTCCTTATTTTTTTTTTATCTGTACTAGCAAAAGCTATATCCACCATGCACCATGCTGCATGGTTTGCAGACACCACTTTGTACAGTGGCAGGAATCTGCAATGCTGTACTCCAACCCATGCACTGTGAATCCACCTTAGTAGCTCAAGTCCACATGCCACAGTATCTCTGTACCTAGGTGTCTCTATATCTCGACCCACATGAGACATGAAGTAAAACCCTGTTTTTGGCTCCATTATTCTGTTTTTAGAAGCAATTTTTAAACTCTTTTAGGCCTTATGGAAATTCAAGAGCCCCAAATTGGTACACCAAATGTAGCTGAAAGTTTCTCCATCCTGCCTGGTCCCATGTTCCTCTGGTCTGGTGGTCCCGCAGTCACTTATAAAATAATCACTCAGAAGCTTATATTAATTGTAACTGCTCAGCCATTAGCTCAGGCTTATTACTGACTAGCTCTTATGCCTAAATTAACCCATAATTCTTATCTATGTTTAGCCATGTGGCTTTGTACCTTTTCTCAGTTCTGCCTTGTCATCTTGCTTCCTCTGTGTCAGGCTGGCAACTCCTGACTCCTCTCCTCTTACCAGCATTCTCCTAGGCTGCTAGCCCCACCTATACTTCCTGCCTAGCAACTGGCCAATCAGCATTGTATTTATCAACCAATCAGAGCAACACATTCAAAGCATACACAACAACATCCCACAGCAGAACTCTCCAGTCCAGGAGCCTGACTGTCTTTAAAAAATGTTCTATTACTAATTGTATAAATTGTGCCCATGATCCTGAAATGTATATACTATCAAACAATCTCTATATGTACTTCTGACAATTGTTCTGATATGTAAATCTTGCTATGTATACCATGAGACCAATTGATACTGCCCTCTCAGAACCAAAATGGTTTATAATTGCTTTGGTTACAAGTTTAAGATATAAGACAACTTCAACTACAGCTTTGGTCCTACAGATGTACACCACTAATTCAGGTATACTCTTTATCTAACAATCCTTCATTAAAATACAGACTAATCAAATTAATACAATTATTCAAAGATTAGTAGATTAAAATTAATGTTCTAAACTATTCTGTTTTGATAACTCATAATCATAATATTTAGACACACTTAACCACATCATATCATGCTAACTAATGACAGATTTTTATATTACTCCTCTGCCTTGCTATAGATCAAAAGTATTCTGAGACCATATGCAACTACACCTACAAGGTGTTTACACTAGTTCTCAGCTTACCATCAATATAGATTATTGATTATTAATTATAAATATAAACTATTGATTCATTATAAATATTGGTTATTGATATAATTTTAATTACATGTCTATAAATTATTGATTCTTATTACTTTCAATATCATTACAATATTACATATTCTTCCAATCATCTTTAGACTTATAATTTATCCACATTATTCACTGCCCTAAGAGAGATTTACATGCTTCCTTTTTTATTAAATGAAAAAGGGGGAGGTGTTGGAGGCCATGCAGGTATATAGCAGGTGACAGCTAGTGTTCAGCAGGCCTAGCCACCAGACAAATGATTCCCTGACTGTAAATGACTGGTTGCTTCTGTCTTGTAATTTTTCTCATGTGCCACTATATCTCTTCCCTAAAAACAACTATGGGTGTTCTCCCCAATGTTTGTGTATTTATCTTGTGAATATATTCTATCTACTGGACACACATATAGCTGTGAATGGTCAAGAAGATGATTTCTACTTAAGATGATAATTTTGATGAATAGAATATATTAGGATATGCTTTATAACTAGATCTACTATCCCACAAGGACTGTAAGACACTTAAAAGCCTGCTTTGTTCCTTAAACTCAGACTAACATAAGAAAACAACAATTTCCACCCATTCTATGATAAGCTAAATACATTTCACTGATTTGAAACTTCAGAGCAGTTTCAAACTAAACTGAATATTTCTGTAAATGGATCACAAATTAAAAACTTTACAGAGATGCACAAGTTCAGAGTCGCAGATATCTAACCAAGGTTTTCGTTTTTCTTTTTTTTTTCTTCCTTTATTAAGACAGGGTTTCTCTGTGTAGCTTTGGAGCCTGTCACAGAATTCACTCAAAGCTTATAATTTATCCACATTATTCTAACATAAGAAAACAACTAACATTTGGAGCCTGTCACAGAATTCACACCAAGCTGGCCTCGAACTCACAGATATCTGCCTGCCTCTGCCTCCCAAGTGCTGCTTATCAACACAAAGACTCAAATACTATGTCAATTCTTCACTTGCCAAGTCCAGTCAATAAAGACCTGACTCCCTGTGCAGATCTCTCAGCAGCCTGTCTCACCAGGCACTGTGCCCTGGCCTCAGGTCATAGTTGATACACAAGGAACCTTGGAACATTGAGTTGCCTTGGTTGCAATGTTTACTCAAGGAATGTGCTATGACCTTCAGAGGTAGCTATGTAACTCCTTTTGTTATTGAAAAAAAGCCTCCTGAAAAAATATGTATATAGCTGTGCAGAACAGAGGAGAACTAGAAAGAATTAGAACTTAGAAGGAATTAGAACTAGGAAGAATTAAAGCTGTAAAGAAAATTAGAGCTGAAGAAGAATAAAGAACATGACCTGACCAGACTGTGTGTGAAGTTATTATAGAAATCTTTCTATCCTCACTCTTGAGAATCTTCTCTGAGTTACTCTGGGTAGTGACTTGGGAGATGGATTCAAAGGCAGCTAAAATCAACATGGCCTCAGGCAGTAACAAGAACCGCAGACACCTACATGGGCCCCAGTGGCAGGATGGACCACAGATATCAACATAACCTCAGTATGCAGCATAGATCACCGACATAACACTGCCTTCAGCAGAAGCATGAACAATGAACATCTACATGGCCTCAGACAGCAGTTAAGGTCAAGGATATCCACTTGTCTTCTGGAGGAAGTATGGACCAAGAATATCAACATGGTCTAAGACTGAATCACAGATCAGGGATACCAACATGGCCTCTATTGGCAACACAGACCACAGACATCAGACAACGCCTAGAGGGGTAGCTCAGACCAGGGGCACCAACTTGGGCTCCAATGGCAACATAGACTGTGGGCATCAACAAAGGCCTCTGGAAGTAGCAAAAATCACTAACATCAGCATGTCTCCCAGTAGCATCATGAAAAAGGGATGCCAACATGGCTTGATGTCAACTGTGGCAGCACAGAACATGGGCCAAACCATGAATATCAACATGGCCACCAGTGGTAGCACAGACCACAGAGGCCGACAGGGCCCCTACTGGTAACAGGAACCATGCTAAACTACATGGCCCCCAGCAGCATCTCAGACTGTGGACAGGAGCATGGCCTCAGGGAGCAGCACAGACCATGAACATCAACACGGCCCCAGGCAGGAACACAGACCAGGGACATCGATATGATCTCCAGTAACAACATGGTACATGGATATCAACACAGCCTGCAACTGCTCACAGAACCATGACACCAGAAGAGCCCCAGCTGTAGCACGGACCACGTAAAGCACCATGGAGTCTGGTGGCAGCACACATCACAGAGATTTTTTGAGAAGGCCCAATCCAGAAAATGAACCATTCTCCATCTTGGACATCCCACCATTGCTCAGATTCAGGGTGGTCGTGGAGCTGGGTAGTGCATTAGGGGGCAGAGCCTGTGAGAGACCCAGGCTGCTGCTTACAACTCTGCCAGTGCCAGGTTTCCTGAGGAAGCCCAATCTAGAAAATGAACTGTTCTCCATCACAGACATCCTGATGTTGCTCAGAGCCAGGGTGATTGTAGACTATCACTGAGACTGGTCTGGGTTATCCTGTGGTTGCTCAGAGACAGGGTGATCTTTTGGCTGGGCAGGGTATCTGAGGCAGGACCCACTAGATCTCAAGGCCTCTGCACATCTCTCTGTCCTCAGTGAAAGCCTTCTTGCTGACCATTGTACCTGTGTCCCAAGGGCAGTTCCACAGCAGTGGTGTCTCAAGTTGGAACCAAGAACCCACCCTAAGAACCACCATCTTCAATTGATCTTCAAACATTTTTTAAAAGGATCTGACAACAGATACTCCAGACATGCCAGGGCACATTTACCAGAGATACAACCATTCTCTCTGACACTCTTCCCTGATTTTCGAACAGCAGGACACCACTCGGGCTTTGGCTTGGGGTGCAGAGGCTGAGGCATTAGTGTGTGAGGCTCCTCCTTGGTGGCTGCAGAGCAGTGATGTGGCCTGGGGCAGGATACCCAGAGCTGTGGGGGAAGGGTGCAGAAGGAAGCCTCCCCCTCCAGCCCTCTACAGCAGCCATGTGTGCTGCAGCCATCTTGGCTCAACCCTGTCCTCCCTTCATTTTTTTAAGGTCTCAGTCATTCAAAGGAAGAACTAATGGAAAAAATCATATCTGGTCATAAAAGTGGAGGTCACTAATGCTGACAGGATTGCTATTCACGTTTAAGATATGAGTACCAACTCATACCAAAGCACTGAAATTAATTTAGAATCTCTCATAGACTCCAAAACACCCATAAGTATAGTTGTCTATGATGGTTTTCGTCTTGGATATCACCACAGATTATGAATTGATTTTGATAATTTTAGAAGATAAAGAAATGAGTCAGTGACAGTAGATAACATGTTACAGGTCTCTCATGATTGCTTTGACATAAGCTATGAAACTTCTGGGCACTATAAAGTTTAGCTCTTGGGCTTGCAACAAATCCACTTCCATGTGGTCTCTGCCACTGCTGATCCCTCTGTCACTCAGGTAGGCACGTTCTCCTTCTCCTCGGATGGGAACCCTAAAACAAAAAACAAACAAATTTCTGCAAAGTCTGCCATTGCATTCACTTCTGCGATGATAGCTCACTCGTCTCCACTGCTTATTTATAACATGGATCACATAAACGCAGAGTCCAGGAGGAATCACCAGCACGAGATTTACACCTAGTGACTTTTGCATTCTCAGGTTCAATTTGATGACCAGACCTTTTTCATTCATCCATGTTGAACCCTGCACTGTGTGTACAAAGCATTGACTGGTGCTTGCTGCCATGTTCAAGTGAACTTCAGCCATGGGTAACACCACAAGGGTGGTTTTCAATTCTATCTTGAAGTATTTTCACATGTATAAAAGTGGGAGAAAATGCACCAATTAATAAATTGCTGAAAGGTCTTTAATCATGGACATGACTGGGGCTGTGTTTCACCATTCTAGTTAAATGGGTCTGTTCAAAACAGCTATGCTAACATCCAGGAGCTGTCTGGGGTGCTCTTTGATGATGAGAATTGAGAGGAGGTTCCCAAAGCCCCTGGAGTCTCTGCTTCTGTGACAGGTGCAGCTGTGCAAACAGCTGTCTGACAAGTCCTACCCCAGCTGTTCTGCAGTGGCTTCCTGGGGTTTCAGAGCCCTTAGTAGACATCAGCAGTTCTGTCTACATCCCACCAGGGCAGTCATCAACAAGGAAAGATTTTCAAGGGCCATAGCACAAAACATCTACCCCAGGTGCCATCATCATCCTAAAGATTTGGAGTAAAACAACACTAAGTAAATCCAACGGGTTTAAATTTGTCGGGATGTGGACTTTACTGGAGATTGACTGTGGCATGTACCACCAACCTACCCTCAGGGCACACCTCAGGCCTAAAGGTTTATGTTCCCAGTACAACTGGCTCCACATGACACCGCCTTTCATTTCTCATAGCCACAACTCACACACATCACAACACAAGAAAAGAGGTCTGAAAACATACAAGTTGTTATATTTAGTGTTGTCTGTCCACCTCCAAGAATGCTTTGATGACTTCCTGTGCAGGCCAATCCAGCGGGCAGAATCATTCTTGTGTCTCTTTAGGAAATCCTGTCATAAAACACAGAAAGCAAATACATGTGTCTCTCAGCTTCAGATGACCATGGAGTCTCTGTCCTACAGCCTCCTCTCAGGATAGCAGCAGATTCGAACTCAGGATAATTGACTAAATAACCCTCGATTCTTAGTGGATGCATTTTACTACCATAATCCATAGTACACTGACAACCACCCACCCTTCTGCGGCTGAGCAAGTCCCTTGTTAAGCCTGTGTTCGCAATTATTAATAGTTGTCACCTTAAGTATGCAACACCTGCCAGCTTGCACAAAGACTTACATGACCACCATGTCTCTCAGTCAAATATATGTCTGGTCATGCAGGTTGACTATTAGCATTACAGGACAGAATACCTTTGGAATGTCTCAGGGCTACAGCGAGATGTGTTACCATCACAAATGGACCACACTAACATGTGCCCCATGTCCCTCAATGCCTAGCGTAGGAACCTTCCTCATGCCTCAGCTTTAAGCTCTCTATTTCAAGGCAATACACATTCAACAGAACAAACAACAAACCAATTCCTGATCCTTTCTTACCAGCTCCTCCAGGCTGTCAAATCGAGCTAGATGGGCCTTTCGTGTCATGCAGGAGGTCTGGCTGGATGTCCAGTTACTTGTGACTTCAGAAAAATAAAAACATTTACTTCCAAATCCAATCCAGTCTCTTGGGCAATTGGCACGACCAGCTTCAGGGTTTGTAGTACCTGTTTTTTCCTTTCTCACTAAAATATACAAAATGCAGTGACATATCATAAACAAACATTTCCATGAACTGTCTCTTCGGCTAACCACCCGATCTCAGTGGAGGTGTGTGTTTGTAGCTTTCATTGCTGATCACTAAGAGACGCCTCCTAGCATGGTCGTCTCCAATCAAGAGCCCTCATGTGGGACTCGAAGGAAATGTTTTTCTTTTCTTCTTTCTATTTACAGTTTGGGGACAGAATCTATGTCCTCCTGCCTGGTCCAGATCTCACTCTGTGGACTGTACTTGTCTGGAATTTGTAGTATTCCTCCTGGCTGTGCCTCTTAAGTACAGGGACTAAAGACACCAATACTCTGCATAAAAACATAGGTCCTTAAGACATTAGGACTGTCCCTGATTGCTGGAATCATGCAGGCTCCTTTCCTATATTCCTCCTTCACATGCTTATTTTGTAATGAGAAAATAAAGAAAACTCCTCACTTCTCTGAATTTAACTATGGATAAATACCAGCATGCAAACCATGACATGGTCAAAATAGGGTTTTGATACCAAAACTTTGATCAAAAATTTCCTCTTATCATGTGCACACACATTAAATCCATATGAAAATATACTGGCTATCATTAGAGGCTGTCAGAACAGCAATCATCAAGAAATCTCACAACAAATGTCAGAACTCTGGTCAAAAATTGGGACACTTATTCACTGCTGGAGAAAGTGTAAACTTATACATCCAGTGTGTAGTCTCCTTTAAAAATTACAAATAGACCTTTTGTGACTTTGCCATACTCCTGGGCAAATATCGAGAGAACACTACATCATAACAAAGAGAAACTTGCACATCCATGCTTATTAATAGCTCCCCTAACAAAATGAACCTGACCTAGATGCCCATCAACTGATTAACAGATCATGAAAATGAATTACATGTACAAACACAATGTTATTCAGACACAACGAAAAATGAAAGTTGCAGCAAAGTGGAGGACCTAGAAAACATAATATTAAATAAGGTCACACAAACTCAGAAATAGACCCCATGCACTCCCCCATATGCTCATCCTAGCCCATAATGTACAGTGTAAACAGCTGTGAGTATGGGCATAGTGTAACACGGAGAACAAGGAAGAGTAGTGTAAGGTGAAGAGGAAGGACAGGATGTAGCAAAGGGCACATAAGCCATGAATAGGGTTATAAAGAGCATTATTTTTCTACTTTCAACTTTGCTGGTGTCTTTTCTAGTTTGTGGCTGATAAGTATATAAAAATGTAAATACAATGAAAGTCTAAAACCATGACTAAAGTTCCTAGACTTCAGAATGTCTACTCTGACTGTGTGGAAGTTCAATGAGATAGACAGGATTTGGGAATTGGCAAGTGTTGGAGTATCTATATTGATGGAGCTATGTGATATGTTCATTTGTGGGTCTATTATATTAAAGTGATTTTGTGTGTGTGTGTGTGTGTGTTGTGTGTGTGTAATAAGCCCTGAATGTGTGTGTGCCTGTGTGTGTAAGAAACCCTGAATGCAGCAAGTTTTTAGAGGGCTGCTTAGAAAAATAAAGACATTTTTCTTTCATAATTTTGTTTTTTTTCTTCCTTTAACAGATAAGAATGAATGCATGGCTCTTTGAAGGGCTATTGAGCCTAGAAACGAGTGATTTGATAAGAAATATTAAATACTAGAAATAACCACACACACACACACACACACACACACACACACACACACACTTATTTTAGTGTAGGACAATTTGTTGCAGCTGTTCTCTGTTCTCATAGGCAGGACCATGAGGATTTAATGAAAGGGACAAACACAACAGAAAATGAAGGTGACTGTATCTTCTTTTTATCTGACCCTTTTCACAGCTACATAACAGGTTAGGTTACACTGAATAAGTGTTCTTAGGAAACATTTATCCTAGTTTAGACTTGTATATTATTCATTGACATGGTTAAAGTTGATTTTATAAAACAATATCATGAATGATTTACTGTAGCTATGGCAGGAAAGCGATACAAGTTTTATCACATTATTCAGAATAGTCTAACAATGAAAACTTGGGAATCAAATATTTCTGGAACATTTTATTTAATATTTTCAGACCATGGTTGAATAAGTTAAGCAAAACTATGAGTCATGGTTGATGTGGTGGTTCTGTACCTTCCCCAACCACATTGCTCTTCACTCCTCTCACTTCCCTTAGCTGCAGCAGCCTCCTTGAGGCTACTCCCTTGAGTCTTCCTTTCCTTGCTCTCTGCCTTCAATTGGTCTCCCAGGAGGACATATGTCTCCAGGATCTCTCCAGAGCTTGCTGAACGCCATCTTCCCAGGGATGCTGAGCCTGGCTTCCTGTGCACACCACAGCCTGTGCTGTTCCTTCACTGCATCTTCCTGCTAGACCCCAAGTTCCCAGAGAACAGGAATTTCCAGTGAGTTTTCTCTCCAGCCCCTCCCACAGTGCCTGGCTCACAGTGGTCAGTAAGTCTAAGTGACAATGTGGATGTGGACAGAGTGCTGCAGAATCTGGAGATGAGTCACTTACTTGACAATAACAAAGCAACGGACAGTGCAATTACAGCCACAGTGATGATTATGTTCACTACATAGCGGCAGTGAAGCTTAACACGAGACACATGGGAGATGATAGTGAGGTATTTTCCTTGGAGCTTTTTACCTGTAAAATATGAATATAAGAATGCCAACTTCTTGAGAAAAATGAAAGAAACTGACCACAAACCCCACTGTACAATCGCCCACAAGTACCTGAAAGGAAACTGCAAACCCCTTTCAGAGAAGGTCCTGGTCCATGAAGGATGCCATGGTGGAAAGAAGACTAGAGAGGATGGAAACAGAACCTTGACCAGGGTCTTCCAGTTCCTGAACTAAGGGTGAATCATCAAATCAAGAAACAAAAGGAGTGAGGAGCAGTGGGAAGCAACAACAACAGTCAGCTGGATTTCTCTCCATAAAGTGTTTTCTGGTTAGAAGGAGGAACAGACACATTAGGGGGAAATCAGTGTAATTAGACCTATGAACAAACTGAGAGAAGAGGAAAAATAGAAATGTCTCAATAAACACACCAAAAGTGTGTGAAAATTAGGAATCAGAGGAACTTCCTCAACCCTACAAAAGTTATCCATTAAAAACAAAACAATAAATCCAACTGCAGCTGCTTGATTCCCAAGGCTGCAGTTGAGAATTCTTTCCCAGCAATCAGGAGCAGGAGTAGGATGTCTGCTCACTACTTCAGGATGACTTTTCACAGGAGGGCCTCACCAGGGCAAAGAAATGGGGTCATGTGGCTGGAGAATGCTCAGCAGTTAAGATCACTTGCTTCTCTTCCAGAGGACACAGGTTCATTCCTAGCACCTACAAGGTAGCTTTCAACTGTGCAGAACTTGAGTTCCAGGAGACACATCACCCTATTCTGGCTTCTGTAGGCACCAGGCACATATGTGATGAACAAATGTGTGGGGAAAACAGCCATACACATAAAATAAGCTTCTTAAAGAAAGATAGAAAATTTGTACTTCTTGAAAACAGATGAAAGTGTTTCTCTTCACAGATGACATGGTCCTATTTGCATAAAAATTCTAACAACTCTACAAAAGACTACTGGATGTAAAAAAATGAGTTTACAAAGCTTCAGGACACAATGTCACCATGGCAAAGTTAGCTGCATCTTACTGTCAAAAGGAAGTTAACGTCTAATACAGCACCATTTACAGTAATGCCAAAAACCATAAAATTATACATCTAAAAAAGGTTCATAATCAGCATAACAAAAACTACATGTAAAATTATGAAGAAATCAGGACAGAGCTGGAGAGTTAGCTCAGTGGTTAAGAACACTTGTTGCTCTTGCAGAGGACCTGGGTTTGATTCCAGCACCCACATGATAGCTTACAACCATCTATAATTCCAGTTTCAGAAATCTAACACCGTTTCGTGACCATGGTTGGAACTAGGAATGCATGTGATGCTAGATATTTATGCAGGCAAAACACTCATATGCATAAATTTTTTAAAATAAAAAAAAGAAATCAAGGAAGTTCTAAACACATAATTGTTGTGGGGTATTTGTTCCCACTGACACTCCAAGACTATCAATAAAGTGTATCATTGAACCATAGGCAGAGCTAGTGACTAGCTGACCAGAATTAGCCATGGATGTTTTATTGGACCCAAGATACATATATAGAGAGAGAGACACAGGAAGTAGTAGGAAGGGGCTAAGAAAGATTCCCAGGCCATTTTGTGTTGGGGAAGGCAAGAGACAGGAGGTCATTGGTCTCTTCTCCACTGCTTCTCTGATCAATCAGGTTTTTACCCTATTACCTAACTCCCATGTTTTACTGGATAAAAGATCAATATAAGGAAATGGTTACATAATAAACTGGAACACTCAGTATTGCTCATATGTCTACAATTCCTGAGCGAGTTTATATGTGCAACAGTTTCACTTCCTGGAGGGTGACTGCCTTCAGAAAAAAAATCATAGCACCAAATTATATGAAAGCTACTATGAGAAATAAAAAGAAACTAGAAGAGTCCTAAATAATTCTGAAAAAGAAAGGTCGAATTCAGAGATCATTTTGCCTAACCGCATGACTTACGAAAACAGGAATAAATAAATAGCACCACAGTTGGTGCTAGCAACACAAGTATATACTAGAACAATACAGCAGAAAAAAAAGACTCTAGAAATTGTATCAAACACATATGGTCAACAGATATTTAACAGAGATGTACGGTTGTTAGACAGGGAAAAGGTGCCACCACTCCAGTATGTGCTACCTAAACATCCTGGGGCCTGTCTGCTAAAAACAATACACAAGATGGACTATAGACCCAAGCACAAAGCTTAATATTGTAAAGTCATTTGATTCCCTAAAAAGTGGGGGGAATGTCTGTGAACTTGTCTTGACCAAAAATCATCTTAGATTCAAGAGAAATTTGACTGTTTATATAACAGGAGGTTGATGAATTAGATGTTGATGTGACTCTAACGCCTTTCTTTTAGAAAGGTAAAATTGTACAGCCACTATGAAGCTGTTAGTGCAGGAACTGTACAATATGATGATGTGCCCCCATCCTGCCCACATATACCCATACTAAAAGGAAAGACTGCATTTAAGCTTTAACAACAAAAAAAAAGAAACCTCTATATGTATATTTGTAGCATCTTTAAGGATCACTGTAAAAAAAAAAAAAAATGCAACATTTGCAATCATCCAAATGTCCCGAAGATGATGACAAGTTAAACAAACCCTCTCAACAGAAGAAACAAGTTAGACCCCAAGCCTGCACTTCCCTTTGTCTCATATAACTTCACCAGGCATTGTCCCAAGGCTTCTGCCTCAAAAGTCCATAAACTAAACTTATCAAGTTTAAGCAAGCTTAAAGGCAGTGAGCCACAGGAAACTGTTTCCTTTCTGCTTATCTGAAAAGAAACCCAAACTGCCATGACTCGCTTCCTCCTCTCACTTCTCTATAAGCTTCCAGCCAGCTTTTCTTAACTTCTTTGTGTAACATTTGATTATGTGGTGCTTACACACTTCAGAATTCAGAGCACTCCTCCTGTGCAGGTGGTGCTATGGACAGTCTCTTAGATTCTAGCCAACAGTGTGTCTGACTCACTATTGATAGACACTGCACTGTCTGAAGAGCAGAATGTAATACTGCGATGACATGAAAGAAGTCAAATGTGAAGTCTCTGCTTCAGGGATCCATTTTGTGACATTCTGGAAAAGTAAGTGTGTAAGGGCTGGGGACAGAGGTACAGAGTGTCTTCAACAGGGAATGGGGAAGCTGAAGTGGGGTAGGGGGCAGGGGTCTATATATCCTTTGTAAATATTGTTTTAGATTTATTTTGTGGGTATGAGTGTTTTGTCTGTGTGTATGTGTATATGTGTACTACATGCATGCCTAGTGTTGGGGGTTCTGAAAAGTGTGTTAGATCCCTGGAATTGGAGTTAGGGGTGAGTGTGTGAGCCACCATTTAGATGCTGGGAAATTAAATCCAGTCCTCTGTAAAAGCAATAAATGCTCTTAATGGTTGAGCCAACTCTCCAGCCCCTATAAATCTTGACGAAGAATGCATGATCATATGTTTTCAAAAGTGATGAAAATGTACATCAAGTGAATTAATTTTACTGAATGCAAATTATACTTTTTACAAAGTTTCCACTGACTTTAGCCATTGCCTTTTGCTCGGTTTCATACATCTAAAATACCAGGAAGCTTCGCCCATCAACAACGGAGGAGAGGATATGTAGGATTGGAAGGCTTTAAGCACTAAACTGTGGCCTTTGAATTTTGGGTCCACACAAAACTCTCAACCTGCATTCTTTCCAGTTATACAAAGATATAGAAAGTAGCATGATAATTCTCACGTGCTCATTTCCAGCCCCAGCACTTCTCAGCATGTGAGCAATCTGGTTTCCCTGGGTTCTACTCCTCATAGCTCCTCACACTCCCTATAGAAAGTAGATCTTGGGAGATTTCTAAACTCCTCCATGTTTTGAATACATAGACTTCCTTATGGTTACTAGTTTTGCATCCTACTTTAAAAACCAATCTTTCCAAACCCAAGAAAATAATATAAACTCCTGTCTGATTTTAGCTAGTTCTTTCAAACTAACAAGCAGTGTTAGACTTCAGTGCCTGACTAATTTCTCTCAACATGTCACCCAGGTCCACCCATGTTGTCACTAAAGAGGACACCCTCTCTTATTGGTGTGTAGTATTCCACTATATATGGGAGTTGATGAATTTTGGATCCTCAGTTATTGGATATCTTTGCCACCAATTAATAAGCCAATCAAGCCGAATTAGTAAATCCAGGTTTAATCTGAGCAGAGCAAAGCATCTCCCTAGCGGCTATCAGGTAGCCTGTAGGTATGATCTTGAACAGCCCCAGGAGGATTGACTCTAGGGGGGCTTTCTGAGGGGAGGGGCTGCTACCTGGCTGGCTTTCTGAGGGGGTGGGGTCTGGAAAGGGAAGAGTAGGACCACAGCATGGAATGCTCCACCACCACCACCGCCCTCAGGTGGAGATTCCCCAACAGGAGTATGGATCACAATTTTCCTCATTTATTCACTGATAGATATGTTCCATGTTCTAGCTAATGTGAACAGTGTTATAATACACAATCGCATACAAATATCTCTTGGGGGAGGTAGAGAGGAAGTAGACAATATTTACTATAAAGTGGTATCAGATCTGGTGTTTAAATGCACACTAGAATGAGTACAGTTCACCATAACATACAATGTTTCTAAAAATAGCTGAGGGTTTCAATATATTCACCATAATGAAACAAGGAACTTGTGTAAATTTTAATGTGCCAATCAAAAAACACATCCTACTCTGTGTTGGAATTCCCAGCCAAACCTCATCTATATGACTTCACATGCGCAGTTCAGTAGCAAAACAAGGTGCCTTAGGTCCTATGTTATTCTGTGTGCTGCCTTATCATGCAATATGCACATGCGTGGTGTAGCTCCCTAAGCCCATATGTTCATGTGCAGGGGAATCCATAAGAAGCAGGACACAGACCCCTCCTCCTCTTCTTCCTTCTCTTTCTTCTCTCTCTCTCTCTCTCTCTCTCTCTCTCTCTCTCTCTCTGTCTCTGCATTAGTCTCCACAGGCCTGGTCACGCTATCTTCTGTCCCTCCCCTCTCCCCTCTAATAAAACTCAGCTCTGATAAAGGATTTTGTCGTGAGTCGTGACTTTTCCTTGCAGAGTAAAAGCACCTCCTTAAAACCAACTCTTTGGCCTTGAGCTGTTGGGACTGGTTCATCTGCAGGGGCCCCACTGGCAGGAGAAAGAGCTTGCCAGGTTTGGTTTTAGCAGCCCTGGGCTTTGTCTCAGGCCTGGAAGGTGATGAAGAAGGCCGCCACCTTGGAAGTTCACCATCTGTATTGCTTAGTCACGGGCTCTCTTAAGGCCTTCACGGCATTTATCTAACCCTTAAACCCACAGAAATACTTGGCTTACTAGAGAAACAGTAGGATTATTCATGGGCTTTCTCTTTTGGTATTAGTCAGAGGAGGTGAAACTGTTACAGAGGCTGAGGTGGGTTCGAGAGAGCTGGGTCCACCAGAGGCAGAGGAAAAGATGAAAGTGTTAGAGAGGCTACAGTGGGTTCAATGGGTTCCAAAGAGCAGGGTCCACAGGCAGCAGATGGCACCTTTCACCTAAGTCAGTTTGTTTAAAGACGTTGCCCACTGCTGTGAGGACTTGGCTGCCGTTTTCAACCCACAGAAAAGTCTGAAGAAGGAAGGAAATCTTTACTTTGGTAACTTTTCCAAGCACAGTAAGTGCTCTGACTTACCCAGAGGAGTATGTGACTTGCTGGCACCTGGAGGGCCTAGCCACAACTCAAAGTCGGGGGCAGCACATAGAGACCAACACCTGTGGCTCTCCCATAAGCAGGGTGGGTTCTTCAGTCTGTTTAAGGGTCCTGGGTAGACATGGAGGTGGGCCACTACAGGTGTGCACTGGATGGCCCAGGATAGGGCCCAGGGATTCAAGGGAGGCCTGGTTAGATTGCCTTCCTCTTCAAGTTGTCCCCCACCTCCCAGACTGTGTTTCCCATCACCACAGCAGGGGGCCTGTCCACCTAGAGGAACTTGGCCTGATCTCCTGAGGTTGCCACTAGACCCCTGAGCTAACAATAATTGTGAACTCTGTCTTTCAAGAACTATTCTATTCCTAAACAAAAAATATGAAAGTGAGGTGGAGCCATGGCTCAGAGGTGAGGAACACTTGCTGCCCTTGGAGAGAGAGGACTCAGTTCATTTCCAGCACCCACAGGGTGGCTCACAATTGTCTAAATCCAGTTCCAGGGGATTCAACACCTTCTTCTGACCTCTGTGAGCACCAGGCATGCATGTGGTGCTCTAACAGGCAGGCAAAACTCCCACACACATAAAATAAAATAAAACTTT